GCTCAGTCCTGCTCCAGCCCTCTCCGGCCGTCTCGAGGCGCGCACCTCCCACCCCCAGCGGGCAGAGCCGGGCAGGGGCGGCGGGAGCGATCGCGTCCGGCTTCAGCGACCCATCCTCCTTCACTTTGGCTGCGCGCACCCACTGGCTGGGGGCACGTTATTGTTCCCATTGGATTGACGGGGAGACTGAGGCTCTGCTGAAGCGGCCTGGGGTGCTGGGCTCGAGCGCTGGTCACCGCTGACTCTCCCTGCCAGCCAGGTCGGATCATGAGGGGCAGACTGTGTGGATTGTGGTGTGTGTGTGTGTGTGTGTGTGTGTGTGTGTGTGTGTTGGGAGGGTCTGTGGGTCCTGGGGTGCCTGTCTGAAGGAATCTTGAGGTTGTGCCCCTCTCTGGTGGCCCGAGGACTGGAGAAGTTGCTTGTTTTCTCCCCAGTATAAGCCCCGTGTGTCCCCTTTACCCTACCCGCTCACCTACCCTAGAGTTGGCCCAATAGGGGCTGGTCCTAGCCCCTGCCTCCCCCACACCCCGGGAGGGCTAGTTCCCGGAAGGGGCTGGGCAGCTGGACCAGCAGTGCCCCCGTGAGCCTCTCTCTTCCCCCTCAGGACCCACTTGGTCTGGGGAGGGGTCGGGCACTCTGTGACTCTTGCCCTTTACTTGCAAACACACTGCAAGCATTTAATGTGTGCTTGTGGAATGAATAAATTCGAGGAGGGGCCGGCTGAGTCTAGAGGACTTGCTTCTTGTCCTCTGGGTGTGTGTGTGTGTGTGTGTGTGTGTGTGTGTGTGTCAGCTTCTGACCCTCTCAGCCAAGGGGAAAGGTGTATGTCTGTGCCTGGGTGGGTGGGGAGGCCACCCTGGCCACCCGGGGAGCCCGGCCTGAGTGAACCAGGCTGCCTGTGTCCTTTCTGCCCCTGCCCAGGGGCGGCTGGGGTGTCAGGGTTCCCTCCAGGCCAGGCCCTTCGTTCCTATGGGGTGGTAGATAAGTCACTTCCCCTCTCGGCTTGTGTTTCCTCTTCTATAAAATATTGGGCCTGCGGGCCTCCTCCCCAGATCCAGACAGTGTGATTGTGGCCCCAGCTCTTAGAGCGGGTGGAAGTAGGGGGCCAAGTCACTTCACTGTGATTTGCTTTCGTTTCTTGCTTACAGAGGTAGGGCTGCCCTCCCCGGCCCCAGGCCCCTGTTGTGAGGCCTGGGTAGTCTGGCTGCAGCCCCACCTCTTCTCCCAGAGGATGTGAGACAGGATTACTCCATCTTCTGATCTGCTCTGGCCCCCAATTAAGGGAAGTTATCTCGGGGCCTCCTGGGCCACGGTTTGTCTCCTGGCCAGCCCAGCCCTGCACTCCCTCTGGCTCTGAGTTTCCAACTTTGCCACTTACTGACAGCACCAAAAGCTTCCCAAACAGCTGGGTTAACTAAGGTCTTGCTTACCTCTCCCCGACACAGCCAGGGGCTCCCTATCCCCTACCTCCCCTTTGGCATCCCTAATTCTTTTCTTCTCATTTCTTCTCCTAGTCACTTACTCTTGTTGCCTTAGGCCCCAGTGTCCCACCTTTGTTTCTCTAAAACCCCTCTTAGACCATAGTCACCTGCTGCCCTTCATGACCCCAGGCTGGCCTCGTCATCTCACTCCCACATGGCTGCTTTCAGCCCCTCCCCGCTTTGAGCTTCCTCCCCATGTCCCAGCCACCCGGGTGCCAAGGCCCCACAGCCTCAGTGACCTCCTCCGTCAGGCTGAGGCTTGGCGAACTGCAGGTCTGGGCACTGGACATCTGTCCACTTGTGTTCCCAGGGCCTCGCTTCTCCATCTGTAAAATGAGAGGTGGGAGATCCAGACATGCAGCGATACGTGCAGAAGCTTTGAAAAGTGCAAATATCAATGTGAAGTGTTCCTGACACTGGTACAAGGCTGAAAACCCTGGGCTCGGCTTTCCGCTCTGCCCTGGGGTTCTACCCTTGTCCTCTTAGTCATGCCTTTTCCTGGTGTGGCCTCCAGGCTGCTCAGTTGCCCTTTCCCATCTAGAGAGAGGCAGGGCAGTGTCCAGTCCCAGGACTGGTTTTGTTACCTCGGGCTAACCTCTGGCCCTTTCCAGGCTGTACTTTCTCATTCTCTAGTGAAGGAGCTGAGACTGTAGGGTCTTCGATACCCTTTGTATCTCTCCTTCTCTGGGCCAAGGTGTGTGTCTCCTTCCCTCTTCACAGGCCTATCAAAACCCTGCCTTCTGCAAGGGCTTCCTAAACCAACCTCAAGCCCTTCCTTGTCCTATTAGAGAGCGAGGACTGGGGTATCCCTGCAGGTAGGTGCTATGTCCCTCCCAACAGGGCCTCAAGCAGGGTCTGTGTTGCCCCTGTCAGATTGGAAGTTCCTCGCGGGGCTCCGACCTGGTGGCTTCTTAGCAGAGTTTGATCAGAGCATCACTGGGTTTAGTCAAAGAGCAACGATCGTCATCGCAAGTTCCCAGTGATGTGAGGGGTCAACAAGTTTTCTCTCCGTTACAGCCATTGTTGTGGCTTTCCACCCGCTCCCTCCTGTGCACAGGGTCAGGGTGACCTGGCATCTTTTTCTTTTTAATGAATGACACAGAGACCTTCCCACCTCAGGCAAAGGGGAGCCACGCTGGTGCCTCAGAAGCTGCCCACCGTGGGCAGGGGAGGGCCTGAGTGAGGAGCGATGGGAGAGGAGGGAGCGGAACAGGAAGCACAGTGGTCAGCTGGTCAACAAGAGGAGAGGAGGCTGCAAAACTGGGCTGAGCCAGATAAAACCTCCCTGTGAGCCCTGCCAAGGGGAGGGGCTACTTATGAAAACTTGTTGGGGCATAGCCAGGCCCCTGGTGGGGGAATGAATGTCTGAGGGGCAGGGAGAGGAGTTGGGTGAAGGGTGGCAGGTGGGGAAGCAGTTGGTGTGTCGGTGGCTGATTCCTCATAAGGAGACCCTTCCCTGGGCTTTGGTTCAGGCCTCCAGCCCCTCACTTGTCACTCCCCTCAATCCCAAAGTGCCTTCTTGCCTCATCCTGGCCCCACCCATCCCTTAGGCCCTGGACTGGCTTCTCTACTTAATCCAGCCATGGCGTTCCCTGGGCACTGCTCTGCTACAACCAGAGAGGACTGTGGTCAAGGCACAAGTCTCTAGTTTTGCTCCCTGGGAGCTCCCAGCTGGCAGGAAGTTTTCACAGTGTCAGTAGGTGAGGCAGGCAGGGGAGGTCACAAGTGGAAGGGCTTAAAAAGGGGCGGTGGTGGGCCCTGAAAAGCAGGAGGGGAGCTTGGAGCTTAGCGGTGGGACATCCAGGCAGCAGCTTCATGTCCCACCGGCCCTACTGCCTGGTTTGAGAGACCGGTAGCCTGAGCCTGCAGGCCTAGGAAGGAGCTAACAATGCTGCAGTTGCTGATTGAAATGTGGGGGTGGGGTTTCCCCGCTTCCCACTTCATCCCTTCCAGCCTTAGGGGGATGAGGCCCCTAAGGGTCACACAGCCCATGGGGCTGAACACAGGGTCTCTGGGGAGGGGGGAAGGGGAGTTGGGTGGGTGATAGGATACAAGAGCCTCCCTCTTCTTGTGAAGGGCCCTGAAGTCCTCTCTCTGGTCCGGGTGGCTCATACTGACCTGCAGGCAAGCCTTCCACTTCCTCATTCGTCCTTCCGGGAAGACCATTTGGGACCATCCAACTTCCCCATTTTTCTTGTCACCCAAAAGTTAGGGAGAGACCCTGAGGTGTACCTCACATTCCAAGGAGCTCCAGGGGCATTCATGCCCAGTAGCTAAGCCCAGAAAGGGCCTAGTTCTAGATTCTGAACCAGGCCCAGGGAGAGAGGTCCCTGGGAGGCAGAGGGAGTGGCAGGGACAACAATAACAACAATAACAACTACCTTTTGCTAACCTTAGGTCTCCTAGGCACTGCTTTGTATGCCATGTCTTTATCCAGCAGCAAATATTGATTGAGCACTGCTGTGTCCCAGACATTGTCTAGGCACTGAGGATATAGCAGTAAACAAAACAAAAGTCACTGCCCTCATGGAACGATAATCTTTGCCATTTCTGCATTTATATCTATCTCCATTTCACAGATAAAACGGAGGCTTCGAGAGACCAAGTGACTTGCCTCTGGTCTGTGTGACTTGGGCTTCAAAGCTCAGATCCCCAGCTGTAGCTCAGAGGGGTGGGGGCACAGTGAGAACCAGGTTAGAAAGCAGGGAGGCCGTGCCCTACCCAGCCCCTGGCAACTCACCACACTTCCATCTGCCTGGGCTTGTCCTTCCAAAGGCAGCTGTGGCCACAGGGTATCCCCTGGGGAGAGGTCTGCTTTTAACTGGGGCCACTTTTTTGAGCTTTATGTAAATTACAAAGCAGTCAAAAATTAGTGCTAATTTCCTTCTAGCACCCTCTAGATTCTGACACGCTCTTGATCCCCTCCCCTCCACCCTCCCCTTCACACTCACTACTGTGCGACCAGTCACTGAAGCAAAGTGGTTAGCAAGTGGCATGTATTTTTATTTTCATTTCTCAGATATTTCTTGAGCACCTGTTATGTGTAAAGGAACAGTGCTGGGTGCTGGGGACCAGAGGTGAATCTGACCCCACCTGGTAGGCATACACCTGGCACCCAGCTAACCAAGCAGGTGGTTGAGGGGCACAAGATGTCAGTGGCTGGCCTGGAGGCCCCAGGGTGGCTGTCATGTCTTAGAGAAGGACTCTGGTCCAAGGCAAATCCCTTGGAGCCCTCACCAGATGGGGTGGCTGCCCCAAAGTCCTGGACTTGGTGGGAGGAGCGCAGAGGAGCCTCCTGTTTTGGGGCGGAAGCAGGAGGCTTCCAAGGGTGCTCTTTAGAAGGGCAGGGGCAGGGGGCAGATTACCACTCTGCCTGCTTCCTCCTCTCATCCTTCTGATTCTGCTTGCATGTCCTCTCCTGTGGGAGGCCTGCACTGTCCTCTCTCACCTGCCAACCCCTTCACTGTTTCCTTCGTAGCATTTCACACTTGATGTGTTTATGTCTAGTGTGTATTTGTTCAGCTCCTCCTTCCCTAAATTGCCGGCTCTCTGAGGGCAGAGATCCATTATTTTCATTCCTCTCTGCCGGCTCCAGCATCCGTGGCATTGCCGGTGCTCAGGACGGCATTTGTTGTCTGGTCGAATGAACGCCTGGGAGGCAGAATTGTGAGTTCTGGCTCTGTCCTTCCAGCTGTGTGACTCTGGCACGTTACCCCTCTGAGTTTGCTGTGACATGTAGATAATGGTGCACTGCCTTGGAGGGTAGCTGTATGGACTAGATGAGACAGTGCGTGAAAATGGTGGCTCAGTACAAGGTGGCTGCTGCTAATATTGTTGCTGCTGTTATTACTGTTATTTCTAAGGCTGGGTTAAGAATATTTGCCTTGGGGGTTGTGGGGAAGCTCCCATGGGAAGATACCAGTAGGTACCCAGCAGAGGGACATGTCCCTAGTTTGGCCTGTGGACTGTGTGTCCCATGTGGCAACCCTCATGGTATGTCTGGTGCTGTCTTCCAGGGTGTGAAGGAGGCGGGCGAGAAGCCCCAGCGAGCGCGGACGGCGGACAAGGCTGGCTGGATCAAGAAGAGCAGTGGGGGCTTCCTAGGGCTCTGGAAAGACCGCTATCTGCTCCTCTGCCAGGCCCAGCTACTGGTCTACGAGAATGAGGTGAGCACCTGCCTGGCCCCGAGGTTGGGGTGCTGGGGCAGGGGACAAAGTGAGGGCAGCAGGGGGACCCCAGAACCGGGCCTGGAAGATCTGTTCCGTGTTTGCCATGCTGTGCAACCCTGGACAAGCACCTGACCTTCTCGGGGTCTCCGCGGCACGGGATGGTAGCTCCAGATGCTAGTCTAGGGCTCCTGGATGAGGGGCTGTTGGAAGTGTATGTGCATAAGGATGAGTGTGTCTTCTCAGGGGCATGCCTACACTGCAACTCCCTGGCCCTGGGGTAGGTTCCACATATGTGAATGTTCCAGAAAACTAAAGCTTGCTCCATTTATCAATGATAATGGAAATAATACTTATCGCTCGTGTGTTTAGAGCTCTTGTGTGACACTCTCAACAGTCCCATAAGTGCAGTCATCATGTCATCAGAGATGGATCTACAGAGATGGATCCTGGGGCTGAGGATGGCCAAATGACTGCTCAGCCTCTCAGTGAATGAAGGAGCCAGGTCTAGAACCGAATTCAGTGCTCTTTCCACTCACTGATGCCAGCAAATAAACTCTACAGCCTATTGAGTCTTTCCTTATGGCTCGGAGTCACTTATAATCAGACTGTACTTTTCCTCTTTTCTTTCTCCTTTAACATGGAGCTACCGGTTGCTACTTTGCCACTTCTGCTGTCCTTGTGCCTCTCACAGTCCTCACATTTTCCCACTGCAGGCTTGCGCCCTGTCTCATTTCAGCAGGCTTGGAACCTGGACAACAAGGATGCTAAAATTGGGGTTAAGAGTTGAAAAACCTCTTGGTGACGACCTGGGGAGGAAAGGTCTTTTATGTATGATGTGTGTGTCCTGGGGGTGGGGCTCTAGAGAGCCCATCCACTGAGCATGGGCTATCACTGTATGCCTCCCACAGATGGAACACACGGGGAGAACGGCCTGGCGGCAGGAAGGGCATCCTGCCTGTTCCTCCTCAGCCTCTCAGCGTGCCTCGGGGTATCTTGGCAAATCCGTAATTGTCCCAGGCCAAGAAAGATTGGGCGCCCAGATCTCCGTGATTAAAGGAGCTACCCTTGAGGAGCACTTTGGCTGTCCTTCCCGAGGCCCAGGCTCATGGAGCTGGGGTGTCAGAGAAGCAGCTGGATGAGTCGTTCAGACAGCCCCCCAGATGGTCTGTACCGCTGCTCTCACCAAATGAGGATGCGCTGTGGTGGCAGCAGGGGGATGTTTTTATAAATAAAGGGTGTTGTCAAGCTTTCTCCAGTCCCAGCTGCCTAAGAGTTGAGTGACAGGTCCCCAGCTGCCAGCCTGTCAGGCACTGCCAGACTTGTCCTGCGCTGCCCCTCCACATCTGGCCACAGCTGGGAAGCAGGAAGGATCTTGCATCCCCTAAACATGAAAAACCTAAATCACCCTTTTAAAATAATCACTATTAAAAACCTCAATTGAAGCTTCAGGAACTTTGCCCTCTCAGGGGTGGGGAGCTTGGCCCAGGAGTGGGAATTGAGAAATGCTTATTAGTTCAATTCCTCTTTCTTGATGTAAGGAACTAGGCTAATGTGAATGGCTCTTGGCTGTCTCTTTGCTGTCAGTGAGGTTGACATTCCAAAAATGCTGCCCCCGCCCAGCGCCTGCTGGGTTATCTGTTTTTCTGAGCTGCAGAAGGGCCAGATGATTCAGCGATTCGGGTGGAGAGGAGACCCAGGACAGACAGCCGCGGGGAGCTGGGTGTGGAGATGAACCACCTTTGTGTCTGGGTCAGTCCAGCTGGGGGAAGCATGTGCACATGGGGCAGGTGACCTGCACCTTCTGCAGCTGGGGGTCCTTTTCCAGGCAGCCCCCTTCCTCTGGATGCTCAGTAGGTGAGGACTTCCTGGGGTCTCACTCTGAGTCAGGCATTCAGTCCAGCAACTGGTCCTATATATGTTGCTCTTGAGCTGCTCCTTTGTGGGGCCATGATAGGGAGAACAGAAAGGAGAGCAGACATAGGCAGCATAGGGTAGAGAGTGATGGCCCAGCAGGAAGTTAGGACTGTTCTTCCCATGGCAGTGTCCCTAGCATCTAATTGGGTGCCTGCACACCTGGCAGGTGCTTTGTGGATGGGGGACCTCAAAGGAGCAAGGGAGCACCAAGGGGTGGGCAGTGGAGCTGCCTGGACCAGGTGGATTGTGCTACCCCTGTGTTGCGTGGAGAAATGTGGAAGGGATTAGGGACTAGACCTGTGGTCGGCAAACTCATTAGTCAACAGAGCCAAATATCAACAGTACAACGATTGAAATTTCTTTTGAGAGCCAAATTTTTTAAACTTAAACTATATAGGTAGGTACATTGTTATTAACTTAATTAGGGTACTCCTAAGGCTTAGGAAGAGCCACACTCAAGGGGCCAAAGAGCCGCATGTGGCTCGCGAGCCGCAGTTTGCCGACCACGGGACTAGGGGTTGGAAAGAGATGTGCAGAGGCAAAAATGGGAAAGACACCTGATTGAATCTGGATGGGGAATATCAAGCTGCCTGGCCATATGTTCCCCTTTCCCTAAGGGGCTGAAGGGAGGGAACATCAGTGGTTATCCTCGTTAGCTGTACAGTCATCTGCTTTGAAAAAGTTTCATGTCTGGGCACCACCCCCCAGGGATCCTGATGTAATTGATCTGGGATGTTGCCTGGGCATTGGGATTTTTTTTTTTTGATATGTTCCCATTGATTTGAGAGAGAAAATATTGATGTGAGAGAAGAAACATCAATTAATTGGTTGCCTCTTGTATGTGCCCTGACTGGGGATCAAACACACAACCCAGGCATGTGCCCTAACTGGGGACCTTTTTTGGTGTATAGGATGATGCTCCAACCAACGGAATCACCTGGCCAGGGCTGGAGATTGGGATTTAAAAAAAATTTTTTTTAATTGATTTCAGAGAGGAAGGGAGAGAGAGAGGGAGATAGAAACATCAGTGATGAGAGAGAATCATTGATCAGCTGCCTCCTGCACGCCCCATACTGGGGATCGAGCCTGCAACCCGGGCATGTGCCCTGACCAGGAATTGAACCATGACCTTCTGGTGCATAGGTCGATGCTCAACCACTGGGATTTTTAAAGGTCCCAGGGCCACCAAGGTTGAGAACAGAGGTTCTCAAATTTTTGTATACGTTAGAATCAGCTGGAGGGCTGTTAAAACTCAGATTTCCCCTAAGATGATGATTCATTAGGAATGGAGCCAGAGAATTTGCATTTCTAACAAGTTCTCAGGTTGTGCTGCTGCTGCTGGACCAGCTACCACACTTGGAGGACCACTGGTGCAGAGCAACCTGTTGCTAAGGCACTGCCCATGCCTGCCTCTGCCCCTGGCAGGGGGGAGAGCGCTGTGCTGGGAAGAGCTCTGGCCTGGAGTCAGAGGGTGTGGGGTTGAGTTTGGCTCTGGCCCCTTATGTTTGGGTCTGTGCTCCTAGGGCAAATCAGTTCACCTCCAAACCGCATTCTCTTCCTCTGTAAAATGAGGCAGGGGATTGGTTCCAGGACCCTCGTGGATACCAAAATCCATGGGTGCTCAAGTCCTTTATATAAGATGGAATAGTATTTGCATATAACCTACACACATCCTGTCATATACTTTAAATGATCTCTAGCTACTTATAATACCCAATGCAATGTAAATACTATGTAATTAGTTGTTTAGGGTATAATGGCTATAAAGAAATGTCTGTGCATGTTCAGTCAAGAAGCAACCACAGTAGGCCTAACTACATAGTACATGTCAGCAACAACGTAACTTTCCCCCCACAAATGTTTCTGATTCGAGGTTGGTGGAATCTGTGGATGTGGAACCCTGGGAAATAGTATAGGCAGATTCATGGAGGGAAATGAGGCCATTTCCTCTGCAGATATTTGAATCACTGCTTCCCAGATATTCCCCCCCAAACTGCAGAGCACTGAGAGGTCCTGGGTGGGTGCTCTTGCTGGCTGTGTGACGTCCAACAGCAGCTTCACTTGGCCAGTTCCTAGGCCGGTGCCTCCCCTACCCCCGCTGATCCAGGGCCTGTTTCTCTTTCCCAGGAGTCTCCAGGGTGAGACTGTGCCACATCCAGGAAGTTGCTCCAGCTAAGGCTTCTGGAATAGCAACCAATTGATCACCATTGAGGGAGGAGCTTGCCCCGGCAGCTTGCTGAGAGGCACCTGGTGGAGAAAACACTCAGGTGCCAGGCCTGGTGGGCAAGAAGGGAGTCTTGCTGGTGTCCAGGAGTGGCCTAGAGGAGGCTGACCGCTGTCCTGGCCATTGGCCCTTCTACTGATGGGGCCTCAGGATGACAGCCTGGGGTGGGGTGCTCTTAAAGGGGCCATTGCGCGCTCCATTGTGCAGGCCATGGAGAGTGGCCTCTCCCCGAGCCCAGGGTCAGCGGAGGAAGATGCCAGTAGAGAATCAAGTCAGGTCACTGTGGTGAAGGCAGGGATGTCGCCCCAAGCATGCCTTGTTCACGCTTCCCTCTGTGGCTCTGCCTGGAAAGCCTTTTTCTTTTCTTTTTTCATTTTGTGACAGCTTGCTCCCTCTTCCAGGCTACCTTTTCTGCACATCTCTGCCTGGTCTCTGGGCCTGCACGGACCCCCAGGCACCCTTTCTAAGCCTCTCCAGCTTCCCGGGTTTCCTCCGACTGCCTTAGGAACATTCGAGTCAGCCCTGTTCCCCATCTCCGGATGGTGAGCCCCATCTCTCACGTGCATTGTGAGCCGTGAGCGTGTCCCTCCAGCCAGCACAGACTGAATGCCGGGGACTAAATATCTCATCTTGGTGATTGATTGGCAGGCTGGGGTCCCCCTCTGCCCAAGTGATGTCCTCATTGGTTGGAACCAGGGTCCGAGGCGGGACCTGGGTGTCTGAGAGTCTGGGTGTGTCCTGCTCCACCATTTCATGTCCCCTCTGTCCCTCCACAGGACGAGCAGAAGTGTGTGGAGACAGTGGAGCTGGGCAGCTATGAGAAGTGCCAGGACCTGCGTGCCCTCCTCAAGCGGAAACACCGATTTATCCTGCTGCGATCCCCAGGGAACAAGGTAGGGCTGTGCCTGCCGGGCCTGACCCTCCTCCAGGCTGGGGTCTGCTTGGGAAGATCATCCCTGCAGGCTTTCTAAGACAGGCTGGGCCCGGGATGCAGCCCGGCATTCTCTGTGGCGTGTGCCTGAGGCTCAGATCTGGGGCTGCCACAGGTGGGACCTTTTGCGTGTTTCATCTTGGAGTCTTCCCAGCCCCTGGTTGATAGGAGATGTGTGTAGAGCTCTGCTGAGAGCTCTGCTCCCCTCTTCCCTTCCAGGCCCCGGCGCCTCCTCCTAGGCTGCGGTTGGAAAGTAGCCTTTGGGAGGTGGGGCACTTGGCTTTCTCCCACACCCTGGACACAGGAGGCCCAGGGCCGAGGCAGGAAAGCTGAGGATGAGGCCTTCCTCCCACCAGACCTCTGACACTGTGACACAGTCTGGGCCAGAGGGGAAGGAGTGGCCTCCCCTTTATCCCAGGCTTCCTGGGTGGGCCCTCTATCCTGGACTCAGGCCGTGGAGACACACAGCCTCCCAGCTCCCCTCCCTTGCACGTTCCTCTGGCTAATGCTGGAGAAAGTCGAGAGGTTCTCCCCCGGGACATGCTGTGTGTACAGATGAGGTTGCTGTTTGCACCACATGTCTCTGGCAGGCAGTCCGGGTGAGTGACGCTGGCGTAGTTTCACACATGTCAGGAGCGAGTCAGACTGAGGTTGGCGTGTACAGTACCTCTGGCCAGATCTCCCCCTCTGCACTGGGTCACGCCTCTCCCGACCTCTGCACGTCATGTGGAGCCTCCCAGAGTGGGGCTGAGTCACCGATGCGGGGGGTTGGGGAGCGGGTCTGGTCTGGGCCTGCTGGCGGCCATTCTGTTTCTGCCCCAGCTTTCAGGCCAGGAGCCCAGTCCTGGGTGGCTCTGGGCCTTGGAGGCCATGCTGTTCTACTCACTAATCCTTGGCCCTGCTCTGCCTGGGTGAGGGCAAAGAAGCAACTGTAGGCAGGGCTCTGACTGGGATTGGGGGTGTGCCCAGGGGGCCGGGGGCAGGTTTATAGTGTCATGAGGGTTCATGGGGCTGGGCCCAGGTTTCACGTGGCATCTGCTACTTAGGGCTCTGTGAGAAGAGGAGAACCATATTTTGGTCTCTCGGGCCAGGAGCCCCTATCCTGCTGGGGAGGCCTGCTTTCTCTCTGGTGGGCACTGTATTTGTGTATGTGTGTTTTGAGAGACATGGAGTTCATTATGCGTGAAGGTCTGCACCTGTGTGTACAGTGCACGTGGGTGCACCTCTGTGTCCACCTGGCCACGGTCTGTTTGGGTCTCTGGGTGTCTCTTAGTGAGCTTATGTGGACGTGGAGTGGAGGGGACCGGCTTCTGTCCTCTGCCAGTCCTGGGCCCCTCCTTTCTCCTGTTCTGAGGATCGGCTGGTGGTGGGATAGGTGGGCCAGGCCCAGTGCAGGGTGGGACATCACCTTCAGAGAAGCCTGTTTGTGTATCTGCCTTCTCACCTGCTTCGGCCAACACCTCCCTTCCATTCCCCAATTCTTCAGAGTTCAGGTTGGCTCAGGGTGACTCTGGGAACAGGGTGATCAGTAGGGAGTGCGCTATGGAGCAACTGGTGGGGGCTGCAGAGCAGTGGGAGGACAGTACACCCTGCTTCCAACTCAAGGGCCCCCTGACCCTCGCCACCCCAGGAGCTCACACAGAGAGTGGGAGCTCTCCAGAGGGCACACGGGGGACCACCCAGAGTACCACATCCCCCGCATCCTCCTTTCCTATCGCCCTGGGTGTTCCCCATCCTCAGTGACGCTGCCCTCTGGCTGGGAGGTCACATGACCCCGGCTGTCTGGTCCTGAGGCCGCCTGTTTTTCCTTCTAATCAAATAAACAAAGACTCCAGTGTCTTGCATGCCCCTCTCCCCCGTCTCCCCATCCCCACGCCCCTGCCATGAGGTCACAGGCAGACGCTGCCAGGAAGCGGGGTGGCCCTGCCGGGCCTTGCTGCCTGCTGGTCCCAGCCAGCTTGGCCCTTTCCTTTTCCTGCCTCCCCTCCCCTCCCCTGCCCTCCCACTTTCTGCCCCTCTGCCATTTTGTGTCCCCCCCCCCCCCCCCCCCCCCCACCGCCTTCCCAGGCCAGTGTGGGTCTATGCTGTGGCCAGACTTGTTAGCTCCTAAAGTCCTTTCTCCTGGGGCTTCTTGGCTGGAGAACTTGGGTGGAAACCTGTGTAGCCTGTGGCTCTTCAGGACATGGGGGTGGGGGTGGGGCAGGAGGAGCAGCTCCTTGGTATTCTGCTTATCCCTGTTCTTTTTTTTTTTTTTTTTAAATATATTTTATTGATTTTTTACAGAGAGGAAGGGAGAGAGATAGAGAGTTAGAAACATCGATGAGAGAGAAACATCGACCAGCTGCCTCCTGCACATCTCCCATTGGGGACGTGCCCGCAACCCAGGTACATGCCCTTGACCGGAATCGAACCCGGGACCCTTCAGTCCGCAGGCTGACGCTCTATCCACTGAGCCAAACCGGTTTCGGCTGCTTATCCCTGTTCTGATCACCCTGTGGGATGCCTGGCTCATTCAGCAGAATCACAGGGTTCCTGAGGGTGGGGCTGGGTCCCGTTTCACCTTGTATTCCTTCTCCTGGGGTGGCCCTTTGGCCTACACCCTCCTCCCCGCAGCCTGCCTCAGGGGGCTGGCCAACAGGAAGGCCACAGTTTGGGTTGGGTTCAGTGGTTCTGCACTTGTCCCATTGAGGCCCCAAGTGAAAAGACTTGTGCAGGGTGCCATTGCAGGTTGGTGAGACCAGAACTCTGATCTCGACTCCCAGGCCAGTGGTCTTTTTCGCCCCACTCTTGCTGCATTTACTGCTGTATTCAAGTACACGCCTCCCAAGCTCTCTGGGATGTTAAGTTCTGCACCAGGCAGGGGCCCACCAATCAGGGCCTGCGAGCAGGAACAGCAGCTGGCTCAGAGGCACTGGCCCTGGTCCACCTTTTCACAGCCCCATCCCAGGGTTGGGTGGGCCCTCGCAGAGCCTGGATGCAATGCTGTTCCTCCCTGAGCTCCCAGCAGCCCTGATGGCTGGGCTAAGAGGCAGTTGCCAAGGTGCCCTAGGGTTTCTGACTTAACTGCAGATCTGCTGCCAGGATCGAATTTACCCTGGTCATGCAAATGAGCATTTGGCCGTGCCTGGCATGGGGAGGTGGGTGGGACCCAGGGCCTGGTATGAAGAGAAGTGGGAGGCAGCCAGGAGGAAGTTATATAATGAGGATGCTGAGGGGCCAGGGGGACTTGGCTGTTACATAACTGGGAGGGTGGTGGAAAGGAAGGCGCTAACACCAGGGCGGGGGGATGGGCAGGCTGGCGACCCGCCCAACAAAGAAGTAGGGCATCTTGAGGTCAGAGAGTGGGCAATGGCCCAAAAATGGGGTAAGGGAAGGAACCTTGGGCTAGTTCATTCGTTTATTGGCTCATTCATTCAGTAACTATTTACTGGGTACCTACCTTGTGCCGGGCCCTGGCTTGAGTCAGGTTGAATTCCCTCAGCATTTTTTCCAGGTGAGAAAACTGGGGATGTTTTGTCCAGAAGGAAGGCCATGGTGATAATTTCTACTACTGAGCACTCTATGCCCAACTCCAGATTTAACACTTCACACGTCAGTGACCCTCACAGCGCCATAGGCAGGTCAGGGTGGTGGTCTCCTTTTACAGACGAGGAAGCTGAGGCTCAAGGTCAGCCAGCTGTAAGTGGTGGTTTGTCTAGTTCAGAGACCCCACTGCTGTGTCCACCATGCAAAGCAGCCTCTCAGTTTGCATGGCCTCGCTCCTTCCATCATTTTCTGTCTGGCCTTGGGGCCTGGCAGGCGGCGGGCAGGGGGCTCTCTGAGCTGCCCTCTGATTCTAATATAGGAGCTTGGAGCTCCTGCCCAAGATGGAGAGGGCCCTGTGGGGTGGGTGGCATAGGGTCTGGAGTCAGGAGTCGTGGGATTACTTTAGGCCACCGTGGTCAAATCCCATCCCATCTGGTGAGCCTCTGTTTCCCCATCTGTAGAATGAGGAGGTTGGGAAGGACCCCAGTGCCCTTTCTTACCGTCTATGATTCAAGGCCAGAAAGGAGACCCTGGGACTTTGTTATCTGTGGCCAGGACTGCTGTGGGGCCCACTGGGGAGCCGAAGGTGATTCTGGTTCCAGTGGGCCTTCTCCATGGACACCCTCATGCTTGTCACCTCTGTCACCTCAGTCCCAGGAGACTGGGACTACTCCTACTTCAGAGAAAACAAGCCCAGAGGTCAGCAGCTGGCGGGGGCCAGACCTGAGCTCCCTCCCCAGGGCAAGGCTGACTCCAATCTAAGTCTGACAGCTGCACCAGGGGGAGAGCCCTTGCTTGGCTGGACCTGTCCACCCGCTTCCCCTGAAGCCCCAGGGTGGGGTCGTTGTGGTTTGCTCCCAGCCAGCTGTGCACGGCCCACCTTGGGTTTGGGGTGGGAGCTTCCTTCAGACCCCAATGTGAGCCAGGTTTAACATCTGCCATCTACCCCACCCATGCCCCCTGCAGGTCAGCAACATCAAGTTCCAAGCACCCAATGGGGAGGAGAAGGAATCCTGGATCAAAGCCCTCAATGAAGGGATCAGCCGAGGCAAGAACAAGGCTTTCGATGAGGTGCGATGAAGTCCTGTGGACAGACAGCTCTGTGTCCCCTTCCCCCCTGTGTGAGCTCAGGGACCCTGCCCAGCCTCACCTCAGACGACCCCTTGATTATGTCGCTGCTACAAACTGGGCCATGCTATTGTTACCTCATTTAATCCTCACAACACCCTCATTTAATCCTCACAACACCCCTCAAAGTAGGTGGTGGCATTCCCACTTTACAGATGAAGAAACTGAGGTGTAAGGAAATTAAGTTACTTGTTAAAATGAAAACATGGGTAAGTGGTGGGGTAGAATTTAAAGGCTTGTAGCCCAACAGCAGGTGGGCCTAGCCAGAGAGGTTTGGGGGTGAGCTGAAAGCCAGAAAGCTCACTTTTCAGTTTGGCCATGAAGTGGAAGCCAGGCTGGCTCTAGCCCTGGGCCTCCCTATCTGCCTGCAGTGGCCACCCACCCCCTGTGCTGTAGTGGTGACGGTGGCCACAGTGGCCACAGCCAGGCTTGGGACAGGCAAGGTGTCCCCTGAGACCAGATCTCCTAGGGAGGGTCATCTTTGACCGCGTGGGTTTGTAGCTATTTGGGCTAAAATGGTCCTGGAGGCTGCCTGGGTGGCCCTGGGATTGCAGAAGTCTGAGACCCGAGGGGGGCAAATTTCCCAAGGCCCCTGACTTGGGGCTCGGCTCCTAGTTCATGTCTCAGTGTGACTGGCATGCTCAGTGCTTCACTAGCTGGGAAAATATTCCCCTTTTGTGGGGCGGGCGATGGGAGCATGGACTGGGCCTCCGCCCACAGTCTGGGTGGAGTGGGGTCAACTCCTCCTCTGAGGAACAGAGACAGTTGGACCCCAGGTGGCCTGAGCCCTGAGCCTCACCTGGGGGCTGGACAGTCTTAGCACCCCCCACCCCCCGAACCCCACCCCCCATCAAAGGGACAGGCTGCTCCAGGGTTCAGAGTCTAGATTTCCTGTGTGAATCTTACTCTGTGTCTTCCTGGGCTGCTACTCACCCTTTTCCTTACCCTCAGAGAGGAGATGCTGCCTCTAGAGCAGCGGTTCTCAACCTGTGGGTCCCGACCCCTTTGGGGGTCGAACGACCCTTTCACAGGGGTCACCTAAGACCATCAGAAAACACATATATAATTACATATTGTTTTTGTGATTAATCACTATACTGTAATTATGTTCAATTTGTAACAATGAAATACATCCTGCATATCAGATATTTACATTACGATTCATAACAGTAGCAAAATGACAGTTATGAAGTAGCAACGAAAATAATTTTATGGTTGGGGGTCACCACAACATGAGGAACTGTATGAAAGGGTTGCGGCATTAGGAAGGTTGAGAACCAGTGCTCTAGATGCTCTGACCCAAGGGTCCTGGGGGAGCAGCTGGGGCCAGGGCAAGGCCTGTTTTGGAAGCAGATACCAGGGTATCATGGGCTAACTCCTCGCCGTCCCCAGCTAAGCCCAAAAGCAGCCTCGGGGCCACTTACATATCTGCAGTAGACCGAGGGGCAAGGGCTGAGAGCCCATATTGGGTCAGGAAGACTGAGCCCAGAGAGGGCAGCTACAGAGAGGGGGAGAGCCTCGGCCTGCAGCGAGATGACAAAGGCAGTGCAGAAACGGAGAGCAGAGGTCGGACATGGGGAGATGCTTCAAAGAGAGGCAGCGATGGGGCTCTGACCTGTGAGTGAGGATGTGAGTACAGACCTGACTTTGAGTTAACACCTGGGCATTTCCTTCTCTCCCCAAGGCTTGGTGGGGACTGACCTGGTTCCTTCTCCTTCCCAGATAAAGGTGGACAAGAGCTGTGCGCTGGAGCATGTGACCCGGAACCGAGTGCGTGGGGGCCAGCAGCGCCGGCCACCTACGAGAATCCACCTGAAGGAGGTAAGACTTTGCCCCCAGCTTGGACAGATGGGAGGTCAGCTGAGCCCGGGACCCAGCTCCTTAGGATGGCAGCCAGGCTCGGCCCCCTTTTTCCTGAGGACGCCTGGCGCTGGGGCTTCCTGAGCGGTGTGCGGGGTCTGAGTGCAGGCACATGTGTTAGCCGTGCTCAGCGTGTAGGTGTGCCTACTGCGCCGTGAGTCCACACACTGGCCTCAGCCAGAGTTGGTGCCTGAGGGAGACAGACCCCAAGTGGTCTGTGCCTCTCAGAGCTCAGCTCCCAGCTGGAGAAAGACATGCAAGCAGAGCTGTGTCTAGTTTTTGCACAGAGGACCCCCTGGCATTGAGCAGCCCTTGAAGGACGGGGAGGGTTTCAATTGGCAGATGTGGTGCGAGGGAGGTGCCGGTGGAGGGAATGGTGTGAGCTGAGGCAGGAGGCAGGAGAGTGCAAAGTGTGCCAAGTCCCTTTGGGAGATCTTTCAGGGAAGGTGGGGTCGGGGGAGGAAATTGGGAAGACCTTGAATGCCGGAACTGAGGACAGGATGGTGGGAGGGTGTGTTCCAGACGTCAGTTTGAGGCCCAGGGTAGCAGGGGTTTGGATGGAGGGAAGGAAAGGTAGGGGACCAGGAGGAAGAGGAGCAGTGGGGGCTCCAGGCTCCCAGAGGGGTTGAAAAGGGAGGGGCCAGTGGGAGAGAGACTGGGAAGCAAGAGTCCGCCCGGCTTGTGATTGACTACAGGCTTGGGGAGGTGCCCTAGACAGAGAAGGAGGGTTGTCAGAGGAGCCTCCACGCTTGGAGGCTGGGCAGTTTAGAGGCCTTGGGCACAGAGAATTTGGGAGAAGATATGGGCAAGGGGAGGGGTGACCGAGGAGCCCCTTTCAGATCATTGTTGCTGATGGGGTGCATGGTGGGGTGGTAGAGACCTTGGAGGTCAGGAAAGAACCTCAGCACATGTCACATTTGGGGACTGAGGGGCAGTAAAGAGCCAAGGAAGAGGAGGCCAGGAGGTGAGTGGCACCTCCAGGGGGAGAAGGGCATAGGGCCCCTAGGTCATCAGCCAGGTTGGCAGCCACAAGTCACAAGGGCAGGGTGAGGGACAGGCAGGTGGTAATGCTTTACAGCATATTCTCTCAGAAGGGGTCAGCTTTGGGACTGT